GGAGGCACCAACATCCCCAGCGCTGGGAGAAATTCTGGCCATGCTCCCTTTATATAACGTCTTTATTTGCTTCTTTCTCTTCCTCTCCTTACAGATGCCACAGTCAATTCCACTGTTACCACTCCAACTTCAACCACTCCAGGTTTGTCTGCTTTTTTCATCTCTCCGATGCACTACTTTTGAGATGTATTAGTTACTAGTTTATATGTTGTAGCTGTATCATTTGCACAAATTAATACTTTTAGAATAAATTATTATTTTTACTAATTCTTTAAATACTACATACTGATATCCTATATCTGGCTGATTCTCTTGCTGTAGGTGGATGACAGACTGTGTTCATTTTGTGGGAAATCTTTTTCTTCTCTAGAGTTTATATTTTTGGGGTCAGCACATCTGCCTTTCTCTCATACATATGTATGCCTTAAGCCTACCAAATGCAAAATATCTAAGGAGACTGAGTTCCCTGAAGAGATCATCACGCTGGTACCCTGCTTGAGAATACAATCTCTGTTCAGTTTCTCTGTAGATTTCACCTAATGTTGCTCTGGCTTAGATACATAAAATATATTTTCATATTATTAGAAATAAATCTAAATGAATTACATCTATATCTTATTTTCCTTCTTGTTTGTTTTTTTTTTCAGCTAGAAAATATATTTGTGGTGGCTTACTTTTTAATTCCTCTGGAACACTTCAGAGTCCTTCTTACCCTTTGAATTATCCAGATAACGTAGATTGTTTGTGGCAAATACAAGTAACAAATAATTTCCGCATTATGCTCACATTTGGAAATATTCAGTAAGTAAACCACTTCCTGCTTGGGCAATGAATGGGTCCCAAATCTCAACTACTACCACAGTTCCCAGGCACATTTCCCATCCTTATAAGTGAATTATAAATACTACATAGGAATTGTGTGAGAGCAGTATCGTAGTTTATTGTTTGTTCAGCATTGAAAAACTGAAGTTTACCAAATGCATTTTATTATATGTTCATGTTTCCTCCTCAGGTTGGATGGTGCATGCCAGAATGACTATATTGAGGTCTATGATGGGCCACCCAATACTTCTCCTCTCCTTGCAAGAATTTGTTCTAGTTCTGTTCTCATGTACACATCATCCTCAAACTTTATGACGGTCAAATTTCACAGTGACTCCAGATACTCCAGTAGTGGATTTCATGCTGAGTATCAGTCCGTTCCAGCAGACCAGAACACCAGTAAGTTTCCATTCTAGTAGTAATATTTTGTTCGCTCAGAAGCTTTTATACTCTGACTTTATTTGCTAAATAAGTGTTTGTTAATGTTGTTGAAGAAATCCCACACAGATGACACTCCTGCTTGAATTTTATAACTGATTATTGGCTGATCACTTTCAGACAATAATTATTTTTTCATTTATAAGAATCTTTAAGTATCAAATTAATTGCCTTTAGATGTTATCTACAGTCGTTAATCTAAATTCATATTTCTTCTTATCATGACATTATTCATATATATTTTTTCTACCTTTGTGGACAGATTTTCATAGAATCATAGAAATATTTATTAGAAAGGACCTATGGAGGCTTCCTCGTCCAGCTATTTAAAGCAGAGCTATTGCCAACATGAGGTCAGGTCCATTATGAATTTGTCTAGCTGAGTCTCTAGAAACACTCAAAGGATGAAATCTTCAAAGCCACTTCTCTCAGTGACCTGTTCCAGTACTGTCCTGCATGGGAAAGTTTATCTAATGTGCGCTCACAACCTCCCTAGGCACAAACAATGGCCATCACATTTGGCTCTGTTGTCTTTGTAACTGCCTTGCCTTGCCTTGCCAGTAGGTCCCTGTCATCAGATATCTCTCTCTACCAAAGGCCAAACTCTCCCTGGGATCACTGCTTTTCATTTCATGGACTCAGTGAACCTTCATGGAGATGGTTTCAGGATCCCCTCCCACCCGAGTAGTGTTTCTGCAAGCCAGTGTGCATGTTTAGCTCTACACCTTCCACAATAGCTTTTGGATTCTTATTCAGGAAAATCTCCCACCTCTTAGCGTTTTTGTGTGAGTGGTGATAGAGGCTCAAGGTCTCAGAAAAAACCTATTGTAAACTACGTATTTTTGCCAGGACAGTAACTGAAGGTCAGCTGAAGTTTGTCAGAGACTATTGCTTATTTATATCTAAGTCTAAGGTGTAAAAATAAGTGGTTTGGCTTATTAATTCTCTCCCCTAAATGGTAGCAGCTATTGCATTTGTTGAAGTTGTAACATGCAAGCACTATCAAGCACCTGAAATCACTAATAATTCATATTTTCTTTCCTAGCCCTTGTGTGCTTGCCAACCTACATGCGCGCAGTTATAAACAGAAGCTACCTTGAGTCACAGGGCTACTCAGTGTGGAACATCAACTTGCCTGACTCTTATTGTAGACCAACAATTACATCAACTGAGGTTATATTCAATATTCCGTACAACGGCTGTGGTACACGTAGACAGGTTGGTGTCAACATATATTGGAGTGCTCTCCAAGTCTGAGCATGGAAATTTAACAGACGTGCGAAAAATCATCGTGAATGGCAAAGCGTGTTGTAACCCACAGGTATTCAAAATACAGAAAAGAAGCATGTGTTTCAGGAGGCTGAGGTCTATTAAACGTTCCTTCCCAGGGAAGGTATCCCTTTACATTTCAGAGTGATGTTCTAGAGAGCAAAGTATAGGAGAGAGTTAGGTGAAAAATCCCATCCAGGATGTTTGGATTTTTTGAGTATGACATGTTCTTTCTGACTAAACTAGGACCTAGCACATACAGAAGTTCATAGTGCACACTGTGAACATGACTACATGGGATAATTTTGTACTCATCTTGTGTCAAATAGGGCAACAATGAAACGATCAACTACTCCAATGTGATAAAAGTGCTTGCTTCTGGTAACATCATCAAGAGACAAAAGGACCTTCACTTGCAGATCAACTGCAAAATGCTCCAGAACACCTGGGTGCAAACAATGTACATTGCCGATGACACCATTAACATCAGTGAAACCCAGTATGGCAGATATGATGTTAACTTGACGTTCTACAATTCCTCATCTTTCCTGTGGCCAGTGCATGACTTTCCATACTACGTTGACTTGAATCAGGATTTGTTCCTTCAAGCTTCTCTTCACAGTTCTGACTCAAATCTGGTGGTGTTTGTGGACACATGTGTGGCATCACCTGATCCCAGCAATTTTAGAACACTGACCTATGAACTCATCAGAAGTGGGTAAGAATTTTCTGAAGAATTACTTAAAAAGTATCTGTATGTATAGCTCCAAAAGAGCTTAATTTATGAAAGAGGTGATTTAGGGCTAGCGTACGTTCATTGCAATTCTCAATACAAATATACTTCTAAGAAAGACCTTTTGGCAAAATCTGAATAAAATATAATATGACAAAGCAATGACATTCAGAAGTTGCAGTCAAGCATTGAGATTTCACTCAAGGAGGCAGTGTAGAAACTGAGATCTGAATTTGTTTCTGAAATAGATGTATGAAATGTAGGGATGACAATGGCTCCATGTTTCTGTACATCAGAATTCAAGTTTTGCAGCATAACCAGAATACAAAACAGTCTATTCAAAAAAAGGAGAAAACCTTTTCTTGCTATTCTAGAAACCTAAAACGTTTTTCTTAATTTGATACAAAATGTGCCTTTTGATTTGAAATTGAGAAGTTGTGGACTCTTCTAAAGAATGCAAGGGAGCTAGAAGGTTAGAAGTGCGGCTCCCAGCATCCCATTTTGTTTCAGGAATGAAAAGCTTATGCTGGTTTATTTACCTTCTGTGCTTGGTGGGATTTGAATTTCTCTGCCTCCTGGGAGGGTGTTCGCATCAGTAACCTTAGCAGTGTGGTAATCTGCTGCTAAGCTGGAAGTCAGGATTGTGACAGGCTAATGAAGTGACACAGTGCCTCCTGCCTGCTGGGTGAACGTCCTCCCTTTTACGCTTTATGTGAATCTTAGGAAGGTTTTTTCCTCTTTTGGGGATTTCTTTTATCTGTAAAAACACATACTCATTAAGCAGGACACGGACTATCTACCTTTGTGAGCAGGACACTCACCAGGCAGGTAGGGCAAATAGATTCTGATAATTTTCCACTTAATTTTCATTCATATGACATGGAACTGTGCCAAAAGCAAATGCATTTCCTGTATCTAAAATCAATAATATCTGTCTATAAATATCAGGTGTGTTGGGATATCACTGCAGTAGAAAATAAATTAAGAATGAAAGGACTTAAAATCCTTGGTGTATTTATTAGGGAAATGAGCACAAATATAATTAAAGACAACTTTGAAATATTCTGGTGTAACAATTGTGGGTGAATGACGATTAAATTAAACCAGAATGACTAGTATCTACATTAGGTGTCTTCTAAGGCTAGTAATCATCAGGAAGTGAAACTCATTGATAGGAAAGTTAATCTAGCAACTTGCTCTGTGAAACTTCTGGAGATCTCTGTCAGGTGTAGAGATTCCTCAAGCAAGGTACTTACAAACATTGAAGGACTAAAGAGTATGTTTATTTCCCAAAAAAGATGTGTATTAGAATTAGTTTCGTTCTTCCAAAGTAGAAAGAGGCCCTTTCTCTTTCTGCAACAACCTGCAGGGGCCTCTTTGCAAACACATAATCCTGTTTGCAAATGCAAAACAGGTCCTTACCTGAAACACAGAAACCAGCAGAACCACTAGTTATCTTTCAGCTATTCATGTTTGCACAATCTTTGTTGAGCTATGAAATTTCTGCACTGTATACATGATTGCGGTAGAAATCACTGCCACTCTTACTTAATTTTGTCTCTTAATTCTCTTCTTGCTAAAAAACCACTTTTTTTTTTTTTTTTTTTTTTATTCTTTTGAGTTCTCTTATACTCTTACCTTCTGGTTTTATATTTGAACACGAAACATGTTGCATAAAGGTAGTGTAATAGTGTTTCTATTCAGAATAGCTAATCTGTGAATTTTCTATCTTTCCAGGTGTATTAAGGATCCTACCTACTCTTCTTATTATTCACCGTACAGCAATGTTGCTCGGTTTGCATTTAATGCATTTTCATTTGTTAATCGATATCCGTCAGTTTACCTGCAGTGTGAGCTGGTAGTGTGCAGGAACCATGACTACAATTCCCGTTGCTATCAAGGCTGTGTTAGTAAGTTCAAGAGGAATGCAGGTTCTTCCCAGGAAAAAGTGAATGTTGTCATTGGACCTGTCCGGTTTTGGGAAGCTCATGCTGAGAACAGGAATGCTGGTGAGTTTAAATAACTTAGATAATATAAGACTCTGTATGTTATTGTATGTTTGTGTGTCAGTTCAGACATGAAATTCGGCTCTGAAATATACCTTTGCTAGTTTGTTCACAACTCTGTCGTAATTCTTATGGGTAATTTTTTATTTATTTATTTTTTATAAAATCGTTTTATAAGGTTTACAAGCGATTTCCTTTCTATTGCCCTTTAGATCCATTAGTTGTTCTGCACATGTCAAATGGCAATTGATTCAGTTCTGTGGGAAGAGGGATGAGGTGCAACCCACCTCCTTGAAGGATTTATATCAATTTTTCAAAGCCATCTGTGCCCAATTGACATGTCTCTTATTTATTAGCAACCAATCTATAGGTCCCCTTGGAAAAGTTGTTTCCCAGTGTCCTGTAGCTGCTGTTTCCACTATCAGAAAACAGCGTGTAAACACTCTAGAAAACCAGAGTGTAGTGATTACAAACTCTTGTAATCTTTGCTCTTTAATTTCTTGCCATAATCTTTACTTGTTTGGCATGGCCACAGAATCATTTGTGAAACAATGTGCAATAAAACAATTCAGTTTCTGATCGGATCCAGATTGCAACATTTTAACTCAAGTTCTCTTTGCCTAATTACCTTTGAGATTAACTAGCTCGGGAAAACAAATGTAAGCCTATCTCTTTCTCTTTTACCCACAGAGCTGGCCTCTGACATCCAGACAGAAGGGGAGTCTCAGAGCTCAGTGCCTGCTACCACCTCCCACGTTCCTCTGGCAGTGACCATCGTGGTGCTGGTAGCTGCTGTTCTCACGGTGGGAGGATTTCTTCTGAAGCATAAACTGCAGAAACCCATCCCATACCAGATAATGTGAGAGGCAACCCAAGACTTACAGGTGGAAGGCTATTTTCACCAGCCATCTGCTTCATTATTTGGTTTTGCAATCTGTGCGATCTTACTTGACTATTCCACCATCCAGAGCTTGTTTGAAAAATGTGCTGTATCAAGATAACACCTGTTGTTACCATGTACTGAACTTATAAAGGAGCCTGGCTTTAAAATCCTCAAGTCCAAATACCTCTAAGGTCTAAAGAAAGATTGATTCTTCCATCCCAGCATCCAAATAAGCTACGGTCTTCAGTGCTGGGCATTTCAGAGCATCTCAGTTGAGCTACTGGTTGAGTGTCTGTCTGAGAAGACTGATTTAGGTGACTTGAGGAAGAAGATAAAACACCTGTGTAGCACCATGAGATACTCTGGAAAGTAGTCCAAGAAAAATGTTTCTTCATGATAAAAATATCTCAATAATGAGCCATAAGTGAAAATGCACAGGGGCTGCACAATAGGAATTGCTCCTGTACAGTGTTCTTTATTTTGGGGGGTATGGTTCTTCACAATTACATGTTACTCTGAGAAAATGTAAGCCATTTACAAGATTTTGTATAGAGGAGGAATATAATCAAATCTGTTATGTAAATGTGTAATTAAAAAAAGCAGGAAAGAAAATTATTTTTGAGCGATATTTTTTTTGTGTACTTGCAAGCACACCACCCATGTGTCTGAACTCCCTGCTACTGCATTATCAGGTTGGAGAATGCAGCTTCTGACAAAGTGATTTTGCCAAGCCATGATTTCTGCTCTCGTTCTTACGCATTTCTACACCTGTAATGGGAGGGGAGAGACAGAAAGTACGTAAGTTGCCATAAGGAAGTGTGATCTGTCTCCTATCACCATGCGAAAACAAAACAAAAACAGTAATAAAGGAGGAATCTGTTTGGAAGAAGCTACTTAATACAAGTGGAAAGGTCATTGGTATTTGATTGAGAAATGCTCTTCTTTAGACTTTCCTGTTTTCTAGCCAGCTATGAAAGAGGAAAGTTCATTGGGAACACTATAATGTACTATGTGAGAGGTCAACCAAAGTAGTGACGTGTAAGGAAGGTGAGCTGTACTCTAGGGTGACATCCTGACCTGACGAGGAGGATCAGGGCAGCTCTGATGGGAATCACCATTACAGCCTGTACCATTCCTTCCTTCAAGCTGCCTTTTCCTGGTGACTCTAGGCAGGTCTCTCGTCCCCTCTCCATGCTGTGGAGAAGGGACCACATGAGGAGCGACTGGCATTACCCACAGAAAGTTGAAGTGAATTTTGTTGTCCGCATATCAGGAACAAAGATTGAGGAGGGTCCTCTCCTCCTCTCTGCCTACAGCCACCTTTGAAGGGCAGAGCAATCCAGGAGGCTGACCTGCCTTTCATCTAGTTCTGTTGTGTGGACCTGAGATTGTCGATGCTTGGAGGAATCCAGTTACTTTCTCAGCACTGTGAAGGCTTTCCTGGACCTGGGCTTTCCTACCTCTCTAGAAGAGGACCTTCCCCTCTGCTCTTCCCAGACCTCCTGTTTTCTCTCCTGTCCCTGCTCCTGCCATGGCCTTGCTGCTGTAGTGTTGCTACCCCACCATTTTTCAGGGCATAGCTTGATGGTACTTTTTCTGCTTTTAGTCTCTGAATATTATTGTGATCAGACAAGCAGAAAGATCCTAGACCTAGGATGTTGGTGCCTCCAATCTGCAACATGCCTGTGCTGTTCAGAGCTGAGTCTTCCCATTCCATGTCTGTGCCAGGGGTCCCAGACGGAGATAGACCGAGGTTGTATCAGAATGTAAGGTAGAAGTGCCAAGTTCAGTGGTTTCCATGCTGTAGAAAACACTGCTAAACTGCTCAAGTAGTTGGTGTCTCAGACTCATCCTCCTTATTTCATGCCACCTTCCTTGATCCACAAGTAGTATAGAAATGCAGGATTCAAGAAAACTGGATTTGATTAGGATGACAGGGTCATACTCCAAAGTACGTGTGCCTGGTGAATGATCTCTCTGCCAAGAACCTTCCTTCCCATCTCCTTCTCCACCCCCTCCCCTTCAGGAAATCTACCAATAAATCCAGTGGATTTGACTCTTAGCAGTAGACAGTTCTGATCCACTCACATCCTCGCCATTGAAAAAATGCAAATCGATTTGCAATGACATGCTTCACATGACACAGGCAACAGAGCCCAAGAAGCCATCAAGGAACCCAATAAATTAGACTAAGCTGCCTCATTGCATCATAATGCATGGATTCAGACTATCATTCCTTTGTGAAGAAGTCTGTGAATATCCTTATTCCAGTGTAGGTACTTCCTTAATGTCATGAGTGAAAGCTGATTAATCTTCTTTGTCCTTTCAGTGGTTTTCACAAAAGTCAGTATGTCTGCAGAAATCAATAGTCAGCAGAAGAGAAAGTGTTTTCAAAATTCGATTGAGCTTCTTTCACAGAGTAATGTGCTGAGAAACACTTCAACCTGCCAGAAGAAGTCCTAGAGAACAAAAATGTGTTACTGCAAGAGACTTACCTAGCCAATGGGAAGGATGAAAATGAACTGTATGGTACTTGCATTAATTAACTAATTCAAACTAATCAGAACATAACATTTATCTATTCCTACTCTGCAGACACTGTCTGATAATCAAGATCTCTAGAAATATCTAGATCTTTGAAGTTTGTAGTAAAGAATTAATTAGTGAAGAATGTAGTTAAGAATTACTTGATCAGTGTTGTTGATTTACCTGGGCAGTTTCACATGGGGTTTTTTTGCCTGAACCACCTAGGAATCACTTTTGTGTTCCTCTTCCTCCTCACCCTTTTCAGCTATTACAAGAGTTTGGAGAAGAATTGCTACCCATCACTTACTCTTGCTTCACTGATTGCAGTGTTTGATTGATCAGTCAAATATATTGGATTTTTTTCTGCTTCTTGCCAAGATGTCAAAACCAAAAGAATATGAATAGTGAATACCAGGTGTTGTGTACATTTCCTCATTCGTGTGCGAAAGTGGCTGTTTGTATAAAGAAACATATTTACCCTTCTCAATGTTCACTTTTAAGGCTTCCAACATTATCTTTGGCCTCTTGCATTTTGCGCTTCCTTCTTCCATTCCAATAATGCTGGCCTTTGTGGAAAGACCTTCTAAGTCATTCACTTTTTCCCTTGGGCTCCTGGACTTTAGTCTTCATCCTTGATGACTGCCCCTGGAGGCAATAAATTTGTATATGGCAACAATTGTACCACAAATTTTAACTCCTGATAATGTCATCCAAGACATGATGGCTGTAGAGGTAAGAATCAGATGAAGAACAATATTCTGGATCTTCAGTGTTAGGATGTTCTTGTTAAATGGTTAAAACACAGAAAGAGAGGAAAGTAACCACGCTGGCAACAGAGTGATGTAAGCATTATTTCATCTTGTGGAAAAACTTTGGATTAATTCTTCAAAGAATGACACAACTGTAATTGTCACTATGTAAAATTAATTAACTAATATATTAAGAAAAATTCTTAATAGAAATCGGAACATTTTTCCCCCCATCTGATGATTCAAAGGATCAAAGGAAATTTCAGAATAAAGTTAAGGTGCAATCTATGTAATGTACTTAACTATGCATAAAATCCACTGATTTTTCAGCACGGTTTTCATAAAAAGTTATCAGCTGACCCTGATTCTCTTGATATTTTCTTGCATTCTAATAGTTTCTCAGTGAATAGAGTTCTGACTTGAACTTAAAAGTGCCAAAAAGGAATGGGTTCAGATTGGGGCTGGAGGTGTTGACTTCAGCTGCAAGTTCTTCAGAGACTTCATACTTGAACAGGGCTGCCAGGTCTTATTTTACTTAAAGTATGCCGAAGCTTTAAGACATTCATGGCTCCCCAGGGAGACTTGCTACACTAGCTGGCACCAAGTTATGAAGCTTTTCTATTACTCTGCTGGAGGAAGCCCATTTAAGTTTCCAGATTTCACTGCCTTCCCCAGAACTGCCAAGGAATCTCCCCGTTTAAAAAACAGCTGAGATTCATCAGCGAGAGTTGAAAGACATCTTTGAATAGGAGCTCATTTTCTTTGTGCAGTGAGATGATTGTGAAACCTATGGTAACATAAATATTTCCTTCCAGGCAGTGGAAAATGTTACTCTTGAGATATTATCTTTCTGCAAAACCCAGGAAGTTACAAAAACTTAAGTAACAAATCAAACATATTTTTGTTTCAGATTATAGGACTGTGGGTTTTTTATTGTTCTACTGTAGAAAGAGAAATCTATACAGCCACTCCCCTTCAGAAATGAAGACTATATATTCTGATGGTTCTTTCTGTCAACAACACTTCATGAGATGGGTGCCACTATGATGTTGACATGGCTACTCTTGTTATGTCCAGCAGTTCTGGAAGCCGAATCAGGTAAAGCCCTTAGACTTGTTCCAGGGCATATTAAAAAAATATAAAGACTACTTGGAGTCCTCTCTGTTGATTCCATGAATAGAAATCACATTCATGCTGGTATCGGCTCAGGTAAAAGATTAAAGAGGAAATTGGTTGAAAAAGATAGCACAGTTTTGTTCTACTAAAATTATGAACTAATCATCATAGTGAATGATAAGAAAGATTTAAACTATTTAGTGGAGTTCATTTTGCTGACACAGGGTCGTACTTGTCTTAGTGCCTTGTATCATTGCAAGAACTGTGTCTGTGAGTAGTTATGAATGAGTTACTCTTCCAGTTCCAGAAATCTGATCTAAGAATTATGGAAGAATTTACTTATTTTTTTCAAAATATGTATTTATTCCAGAGTATGCAGACATACATATGCTATATATTTAATATTGCTTGTATTATTTCATTCTTCTTGACCTTTTGTACAATTTAATGAAATATAACAAGAAGTTAGTTTTCATAATCTAGCACTGTGGATAAATGAGGGGTAGCCAAAAATAATGAAAGACATGAAACGCTTTTAGTTCAACTTTTTCATGGTCATGGACTTTTTCCTTACATTATTAGTTTCTGTCTCCTAAGTGACTGTGGTTACTCTGAGCTAAATAGTTGCATGTATATCCTAGAATAATTGAGATTATTCTTCTGACTAGTGATTTAGGCATCATTATGATAATTTATATTGCCATCATCCAGTTTTCTTCTTCTGTCCTTTGCTTGCCTGGTGAGAAACCATCTTACTCTGACTGCTCTAGTTCTTCTCTCTGCTCATGGCTTCATTCCCCAGTCCCTGCCTCTATCTCCTGGGTCAGAGAAGTGCTGTATTTGTATAACCACAGGTTTTTGTCTTTTTTACACCTTTATAGTGTGAGGCAGGACACAACCTATCTAATTACATGCTCAGCTGATTGTTATGCTCTCAGAGTGATGACAGACCCTGAAGGAAAGCAAATAAAATTGTTTTAAATCAGCCTTAATTTCCAAATCCCACTCTGACTTTTTGCCAGGTTTGCTGTTTCAGTTCTCAAAAATCCTATCAGTGTGGTTCAAAAATGTGCATGTCCAAGTAGATATTTGAAGAAATCAGACATAATTCAAGGGGCACTTTTGTAGCTTCTCCTTTTGAACTGCCAGTTAAATGCATACAAATAGGAACAAATTTAGTTCAGACTCTGTCTTGCCTGTTCTTCTAGCTCAACAAAAAAGAATTAGATGCAGTGAAAATATTCTGGAGCTGTTAACTTCTCAGAGGGTTTTGCTTCGGTTGACTTACTCAGTGTTTAATACCAAACTAAATACGTATTTGGCAGAAATGCAAAGTACAACAAGTGCAACACGCATGTTTTGATTTCCAAAGTGTAAATACTACCAATCTTAAGTTACAATGTTTATTTGCTCATTTACACTTAGTGGTAAAGTCTTTAATAAATGTCTTCACCAAAACCAGATCTATAAAATCAGGATTTTCGTGTTGTTCACTGTAGAATGTCTAAACAAGCTAACTCAAGCTGGAAAGTAATGGGCTTTACCTGAATGAACACAGTGATAAGATGTATACAGGACAGGTTATTATATATTTCTTTATTTTAAACTCTAATAACATTCTACTGGCATATAAAAAATAAAGCCACTAGATTCCTATTGGAATTTTTATAATCCCATTGAGACCACTGTCCGTTCTGTTGAATGCTTAGTGGGATTCTTCCACTAAAACTACTCTTACAAACTCTAGAACTTGGTGTGATGTGTGGAGTCTAGGTCCTTAAAATTCTCCTAAATTTTGGAGGAAGAAGAGAAATTCTAATTAAATTGCATAAACCAGGGAGAAAAATAAAAAATGGCTATTGTTTTCTCTAAAATTTTGTAGTTTTTCTGAAGGATTCGTTTGGTCTTATTCTGACATCATTTTAAGCAAATTAGTGAGCTGCTTGTTGTCTTTCAGTAGTGCATAATATTTTGTGAATTGCGATTTATCTGCTGGGTAATTTTTGTATGGCAGCACTGTAGCTTCCCCAGGAGCATAAGTTTAGGAAAAAGCCATGGTCTTGCCTGCCCAAGCCAAGCCTTGGTGATTTTTTTTGCTGGAGCCACTACTCTGCTTTCCCCGCCTGCACCCAGGTCAGCAGAGGCTTTGTTCATCACGTAGAAGTGCTACACATACACACTTCTGGTAAAATACAGGTTGAGGGCAGGAAAACTGTGCTGTATGCCCTAAATTCCAGTAGGATTCAATGCAAATTGAGACATCTATATAAATGTATAGATAATAAAAGAAATTCATAAGTATGAAATCTGTTCTTAAAATATGCCATTTTCTTCCTATTAACAAAATGAAAAAAATCTAGCCCTATTTTCTTAATACAGTTTTACCTAGATTTCATTCAGATACTGAAATTCATTTTCTCTCTTTTGCTTTCTTATTATGCTTTCCTTATTATTAAAGAATTTCTTTTCTTGCTGAAATAGTTTGCACTTAGCCTGCTGTCGAAGATTTCTGTAGAAATCTTGCATAAGATATATCCAGCTGATTTTGAGATCTGGAAGGAGGGGAAGAAAAAAGGTGTGTATCACCTCTGTCCTCACAGGTCTTTAATATCGGGCTAGGCAAGTGCCTAGCGGGGCAAGAGGACAGAATAGACGACTTCTTAAGGTCACTTCAGCTTATTTATCTGACTGTGTTTGTGCTCATCTCCTTCTCTCCCAAAGTGACCCTTCTCCAGCTGGTGAATGGAAGGCACAGATGTGAAGGTCGCGTTGAGCTCTATTACAACGGACAGCCGGGGACAATTTGTGATGATTTCTGGGATCTTTCCGATGCCCAGGTTGTGTGCAGGCAGCTGGGATGTGGCCAGGCCATTGCAGCTCCAGGAAGCGCTTACTTTGGCCGAGGCTCAGGTGACATCCTGCTAGATGATGTGAAGTGTGGGGGAAATGAGATCTCCTTGTTGCATTGTAATCACTCTGGATGGAGGATACACAACTGTGCCCACTATGAAGATGCTGGTGTTGTCTGCTCAGGTGTGGTCATGTTTTTCTTTTCTAAACATTTTTGTTATAAATTGCAGTCAATATACATGTGTCAGCATGGGGGTACGCAGACCTTCTCTTCCTGAGGTAACACTTAGAATCATAGAATCATTTGGATTGGAAAGGACCTTTAAGATCACAGAGTCCAACCATTAACTTTGCACTGCCAAGCCCACCCCTAACCCCTGTCCCTAAGCACCACATCTACAGGTCTTTTAAATACCTCCAGAGATGGTGACTCCACCACTTCCCCGGGCAGCCTCTTCCAGTGCTTGTCAACCTTTTCAGTGAAGAAATTTTTCCCAATATCCAATCTAAACCTCTCCTGTGCAACTTGAGGTCGTTTCCTCTCATCCTACTGCTCATTACTTGGGAGAAGAGACCGACCCCCACCTGGCTACAACCTCCTTTCAGGTCTCCGCTCAGGCTCCTCTTCTCCAGACCAAACACCCCCAGCTCCCTCAGCCGCTCCCCATCAGACTTGTGCTCCAGACCCCTCACCACCTCCATTGCCCTTCTCTGGACTCGCTCCAGCACCTCAAGGTCTTTCTTGTCATGAGGGGCCCAGAACTGGACACAGCACTTGAGGTGTGGCCTCAATGTCATTCATTCAAGACATATGGTGGAAAGCTATACCAGATATATGTCTAATCTTTCTACTTTACTGTGAAGAATTTTCTATCTGTGGAAGAGCACACTTCCCCTGAAATGGCCTGTTCTCAGAAAGCAGAGTCTGATCTTCCAGCAACCCCCTGTCTTTTCATTTCACTGACCTGGCAGAGCCAGCATGGACTCATGTTTGTCTCACTACAGTAGTATACAAACTGTGCTTGCTCACTCCATGCAAAGCAATTAAAAATCCAAGGGTCAGATATGCATTGCAATATGCAGAGCTTTCATTCTGTCTAATCACCCACCAGTGACAAAGTGAATAAGGAAACAAGTCAAAATTAGAGGCAAAGCTATGTGTGACAGGTAATGTTAATGAGGAGGAATGGAGTTGGGTGAAACTCACCTTCTTACGGCAAGACTTAATGCATTCATTATGGGCAATAATAATTTCAGTCACAACCCCAGCTGTCATAGTTGAAAACTCGCTTTGCATTGTTTCTGTATTTTTCAAGTTTTCCTTCAAGTTTAGGCCCATTAATATTATTTTCCTTTACAAATATTCATCCATTTTGAGCACTCTGTCATCTTTCTGCTTTCTGATTTTACTTTCCCCTTATTTTTTAAGAAAAGTTGGCTCATTTGTATGTTCTTTTCTCCTGTATTAACAACAGATCATCGTGAACTGAGACATGGCTGATGACAACAGGTTGTTCAGGTGTTTTATATATATTCCAATTTTCCACATCTCCTCAAAGAGGAAGAGCCTAGAGAGCTGAATTCATGCTAGGAGAAAATGCTAGCTACACCAGTGCTTTGCACGTAGAAGAAAACAACAAAACTTGCTACGATTCCTCTATTACCGTATGCATGCGGTGTTCAGTGCCTTTTTAAGTGCCATTTATTTCTTGCTTGCATTCGTAGCTCCAGTGCCTAGGACAGACTGGTTGTATTCACCAGCTGATTCATGCTGGCCTGATCCCCTCCTGGCCTTGCACCAAGCACCACCCCAAGACCACTGCCCGGGCTGCTCCTGGGGGTGACCAGAGCCCCTGCAGAAGGGCATCTGTGATGGTCATAGGTCCAAGCCCTGCTACTGCCAGCAACCCTACAGCTCCCAGCTCCATGATAGGAGACTGCAGAGGACAGCCTCCGGCTGTGCCTGGGCCATGGTGTCCTGTGGCTGCGAGCAGATGTCACATCAGTACCTTTCCCTGCTCTAACCATCTGGAAATACCACTTTCAAGAAAAATTTTAAATTGGCTGTTATCCACCTCCATTCTCTCCATTGACGCCAGTCAAGATGGAGTATGCCATCATAGTAATTTGTCTTGATTTCACTTTGTCCTTGAGGAGCTGGGTTTGTAGCTAAGACACAGATGTACCCATGGAACAAGCATGGTCCTCATGTGCGTGGTGTTTTTCTTCCATATTCACAGGAAAGACCACTACAGCACCAAAGAACTTCACAGTGCCAACAACCTCAACACTGGAGACAACCTTCACAGAAGAGATGACCTCCATAGAGCAGAAAACCACCACAGAACCAATGACCTCTCTAGCAGAGACAACCCTCATACCATCAACATTCCCCATAGTGGAGACGACCTCCCTAATGGAGTTGATCACCACAGCACCACCAACCTCCCTAACAGAGACATCCTCCCTAGCAGAGACAACCACCTCAGCGCCAATGACCTCCCAAGCAGAGACGACCACCACAGCTATAATGGCTACCACAGCAGAGAGGAGCACACCAGGTAACCCTGTCCTCTGTCACTCGCTGATCTCCTTAGTACCCCTGATCTCCCTTCCTAGACATGACTGCACTGCAGGGGGTCTCCCATCCCTGGGCCGCTCCAATTAGGCCATTCCTGATGCTCAAGTCTACAGTGAGGATGCAAGCAGAGCACAGGGAAGAGTTCGTTAACTGAGGGGCTGAGGCCTGAGGCCAGGACCTCTGTAGCCATTGCTGGTGAATGAAACTCTTCAGGGAGGGATTTCCTGTCACTGCAACTGGCGGATTGCGACAGGGCATCGTTCTGCATTCGCTCCTCCAGTTCCTGCAAGAGTAGTACCATAGCTATTTCCTAGACATGCTCTGAGATTTGGGGTGTGACTGCAAAAGAGAAACCTGCTGCATCAAAAGTTTTGTAAAGCAGGTTAGATGTCCATGAGCATGTGGTTCCTGCCTGGGGAGTAGATGGCTGTGTAAAACAGAGAAGTCACTGCAGTCATTTCGATTGAATGAAAGACCTCCTCATGTTGTGAAGTACCACAGGACAGGGGCTCCTTGAAGATGGGCTACTTCGGGGTGCATGGCATGTGCTGACTGCATTCAGAACTTTTTCATTGACACGGAATTCTTACTTGCATCCGTAGATCCAGTCACCACCACAATCTGGCCAGATTCGACAGGTAATTCATGTCCATCACACCCATCCCTGGCCTTGCGGCAAACATGCAAGCTCCCTGCTGTAGGGGCACTTCTGGGGACAGCGGGTGCCAGGCTGCAGGGACCCTCACCCAGTGCCACATGCCTCACCCCAGGCATCCTCCTGCGGCTGTCC